TGTTAATTCTCTTTTCCACTTTTTTTAAGTATTATTTTAGAAAGTCTGAACACGAGGATCAATAAAGTATCCGTCTATCCATCCATCCGTCCATCCATCTTTCCGTCTATCTATCCGTCTATCCATCCATCCGTCCGTCCGTCCGTCCGTCTGTCTGTCTATCCGTCTATCTATCCGTCTATCTATCCATCCATCCATCCATCCATCCATCCATCCGTCTGTCTGTCTGTCTATCCGTCCGTCCGTCTGTCTATCCATCCATAAATCTATCCATCCATCCATCTATCCATCTATCACCCAGAGTGAGCTAAGAGGCTATTTTTCATCTGTATTCTGTGGACAGATATTGTAAAGTCGCCCTTTGAAACACATTAAAGTAATTATCAGTAAACACATGCAACACAGAGGCCTATCAAAGTGGAAATACTAAACCAAACATACAGATAACATAGCAAAAAAACAGCCACAGGTTAAAGCAGTACAAAGACAGAACTATGTGACTCGTTCTCTAGCTGTTCTTTATAAATATATTACCTCTACTCGACACACTGTATTTTAATTCTTAAATTAAAAGCAAATCATTATTTACGTCGATGATTCATTGATTGATCTGCATATCTTGAGTCTGAAAGCTACACTGCAGGTCTTCGTTATAAGGTGTGATTAACAACTGTATTTATATGTTAGTAAATATCCTCACCTTCTCAGTCACGAACTTGTTGACGTCGACGTCCTCGGGGAGGAAGTCTCTCCACCGGAGACCGCCGTCTCGCCACATCGCTCCCGCCTTTTTATGGCTCTAAAGAAGGAAATATTGTTTTAAAAAAAGTTTGTAGACTCTGTCCCTTTTGATGTGCAGTCACCATATCAACTGAGTCTGATACAGAACATTCTCTCAGTGTAATTGTAATTTAAAATATAAATTGTCAGAAGAATTGCTGAGGGACATCCCCAAATATCTATCCAAAGCTTTAGTATAGTGACGCAGAAACAGAAAATAAATTCTACTAACATCAATACAACTGGAGAGAGTTCACGTGTTAGACTGACACATTAACAACCATCAAACACTTCTTAAATACCGAAAATAAAACCACCGGACATAAAATAAATAAATAAAACCACCGGACCTTCCCACAACAGTTATTTTCTCATATATGAACACAGGGGAAATTATGGGTGAAATTCAATCAAACTGATATTTTGCTCAGAGAAAAAGTGAGAATTTTGTGATTTTGAGAACTGTTCAAATGATTGAATGAGAATATGAAGGTTCCCACACATTTTCATGGGACAAAACCTTCACATGACTTTTTATATGACCCGTAATAACATTTATTATTAAACGATTGGTCGACTAACACTTATCTAACGTCGACAAGACTTTAAGTCGTGCTTTTGCGTCAATCTTTGAGGACAAACTCAGTTTTACAGATCCATAAATGGTAGAAATGAAATGTGCTTTAAAGTAAAATAACTTGTTAAGAAGCCCCCAGCCATATGAAAGGATAGATAATTGACTATAACTAAGAGTTTCTCACCATTTCTTTGCACAGTAAGTTGAGGATTTGCACCAGCAGGACTCCGGCTTGGCCCAGAGGAATCAAAGGTTTGGAAACCTCCCTGGAGGAACAAAGGTCAAACAGAGGTTAACATCAAGCAGCCAGAAAGGGATGTTCTCCTGCAGATTTGTCCCATGTGAGGAGGGGGCTTCTAACCTGAAAAGCTCCCCCATGGGGATGCCTCCCTCGTGCAGCATGGGGGAGATCAGCTCTGCCAGGTACAGCCAGATGTGAGGGATGTCGATGGCCATGTCTTCAGCCACCTCCAGGATCTCCTGCAGCCTGAGGACACACAGCGAGGAGACATTTAAACGTTTATTTATAGGATGAAGAACAAGTTCAAACGCACTCAAACAATGAGAAAACTAAGCAAAAAGGCATCATATAAGTTTAAGGTAAGAATAAAGAGAAATTAGACTTTCTGAGAGTAATTAAGTAACTTAAACCATCATTTCCCCTGCTGGCTTCTGCTCATTTTAAATCCTGACGTTATAAACATTACTTTTATTTGATCAATCTCCTGCCGCCTGAGGACACAGCGAGGACACACAGCGAGGACACATCCAAACGTTTATTTATAGGGTGAAGCACAAGTTTAAACGCACTCATGCAATCTTAAACAATCTTTTGCAATATTTAGTTTTAAAAAGCAATGGGTTTTTTCTTGTGTTTTTTAAAACTTCAATTGAAAATGCGTAACTAAACAGGTGGATTGAAACACACCTCCACCCCAGTTTCACATGTCTACTCCCTCCAGAGAGTTCAACTGAAACTAACCTCGATCCTCATCTCAAACTTTGTCGTTTTGAAATTGAACGTTTCTTTGCTTGGAAAGCCGTTAAAATAGATGTTTAAGAAGCGTGGGAACCCTCGTGTTTTCTGTGAAGTTGTAGACACCTTTTACACACGATATACAACATTATAAATACACATTCCTCCCCCCCTCACTGACCCGTTGTAGTACTGCTGCTTGGGCAGAGTGCCGGCTTTGATGAGCTGCTGCAGCAGGAGGCCCATGCGCTCTCGGGCGATGGTGCTGCGCTCCAGCGTCGACTCCAGGCCAGTTTGTACGAAGAGGAACAGAAGCTGAGTGCTGCTCATCTCACGCACACACTGCAGAGCCTCCTGCGGGGCGGAGAGGACACACAGAGGGGTGTTAGGCTGATTAACTCTGCTTAGTGGCTGTCAGACGCTCATTTTAATGTTTATTAGAGAGCAATGACACAATCAGAATCGATACGATAATACTTTAATGTTCAGATCAAGTGTGAAATGTGACTTGCATCACAGCAGCTCCATGTGTAACATCAACAGACACATATCAAGACACAATACATGAAAAACAAACAAACATTGAACATAACAGCACAATCAGTGAGAGAAAAGCTGCTCAAAGAGCCTTCAGCGAGCATTTGATCTGGACTCAGCTCTGTATTTACTGAGAGGATGGACTGGAGCACAAAGGATGCTTCAGTCTGACTTTATTCAATCTCCCATTAGATCAGCCGTGTCAAACTCAATTTCATCACGAGCCACATCAGCATTATGGTTGCACTAAAAGGGCCGGTTGTAACTTTAAGACTATATAAAAAATACATTTAATATATATAAAATAATGTAATATATTATATGATTACCTCTGCATTGGATTATTATCAGATAGGGTAATAACTTAATAATTACCTACGTCTGAAAGCAGAGGTCTAGGGCAAATAATTGCAAGTCTCTTCAGTGAGAATGTCACAAAATGATTTAAAAAGAAAAGCCAAATTCTGGGAGAAAAAAAAAAAAAATCTAATTTGAGATGCATTGTGGGACATGTAGTTTATGGGCAACGTGCTTCTGTAAAGTAGCATTCAACCGTATAATAAACATATTATATTCTTTGCAAACTCTTATGGGGCCACAGAAAATGAAGTGGGTCTGAGAAGAAGCTGTTGGACAGCCTTATTAGGTTGTTCTAGTATGCTGACTCATAAAGTCTCTGACAGGGTTGACCAACAATCGCTTATTTATGCTAGGAGATATTTGGGTTAATGATGTACAATAAGTTATCATGTTATGAACATAAAACCGTTTAAAGTAAAATTGTAATGCAACAACAAGATTGCTACTTCTATTTTTATCGTACCTTCATGTCGTTGAGGTGCAGATACTCCTCGATGATGGCGGTGGATTTCTTGGTCAGTTCCTCCTCCGTCAGCGTGGGCTTGGTGGAGGCCGGGGGGGGAGGAGGGGTGTCAGTTTTCTCTCGTGTCACTGTTCACACAGAAAGAAACACATGTCATGTTTTCCATGAACTCGGGAAACCCAGAAAATTGCAGTTTAAACATAAGTTTGACGAAACAAAAACTACATTGAAAGTATATTTATTTTAGAAATCTGATTCAATGTTTTGTATAGGTAAAGTGTGTCAACAAAAAAAATATAAATAAAAAATAAATAAAATAGACTTCTGGAACTGTTTGCAGGTTTTCTATGAGCACTGCAATGTATTATTATTACTCAGTGTGAATAAAGTGTGAATAACTGAGCTCCTCCTACCGTCCTCTTTGCTCCTGGCTCTCTCTCGGCTCCCTCTGTCGTCGGTCATGCTGGCGACGCGGCGGACGGGATCTGCCGACCCGCGCTGCTCCCGCTCGCGGCTCCCCTCGTTCTCCCGGCTGAAGCTGCGCTTGGTGACCTGCAGGCGGTTTCTGTCGCGGTCGTCACGCCGGTCGAAGCGATCGTTGCCGCGGCCCGAGCGATCGAAACGGTCGCCGCGCTCTCGACTCGAGCTGTTTCTGTGGAATCAGAACAAGAAAAATCCTTAATTCAATTACAAGTTATATTATGTGCAATTTGAAATTAAAACAACACATTTCCATGACTTTTTAAATGGGAAACCACTAATAAGATTACTTTTACATGCCTGGAAAATTACACTAAAGCTTTCTGATCACACAGGTCCGAGGATACTCTGACAACACTTTAAGTTTCTTGCTGCTCACCTCTGAGGGACTCGTCTGTCTGAGTCCTGAGCAGCCGAGGAGCCGGAGGTCGCCTGCTGTAAGGCGGAGAATCTGTTCCCCGTGTTGGTGGCTGGGCGGCCGGCTGGCTGCTCTGGGCCTGGAGGGGAAACACAACAGAAATAGCACATTATAATACATGTCATTACATTAAAACACATTTACAAAGCACCTTTAAACTGTTGGCCATGCCTGCAGGAGAAATGTGGGGTTTCAATATCTTACCCCAGGGCAATAATGAATCATGACAGATATTTGTGATCTTAATATCGATCAACTTAATAAAAAGGCATGCATTTGGTATCGTAAAAATGAAATGAGAGAAGATGGTTCCCAATAAGTACATTTTTTGACATTGTTCTTTCAATGTTTAAGTAATACTTCAATAGTGTTTTACATTTTCTGAATGTCAATCTATTTTGTGATATCAACCTCTTTTAAACTGCTGGCAAATATAACAATCTGTCCAACAAAATCAATGATATGGAACATCCAGGTAGCAAGGCAATGCAGCAGCGGCCTTTTCTGTGTTCTGAGTCTCACTTTTTATTTCATTTCATTTGTATTTGTTCCGTTCATGGTATGCACAACTTAATGTATAACAATTATTTACAAAACATGTCTCTATAAACAGACCGTACCCGGAAAGGAGCAGGGAGATTACCGGCCCTTTTCTCAATTTCTTTTAATAAATTTAACTAGACGGTCTGTCCTTTGTATTTTCTTATTCACAGCCAATCATAACAGTATCGTGGGAAAATAAGAGAAACACAAAAACGTCCCACTTAGTTCCCACTTGACAGTTAACGGAAAGAATCAAAACTAAAACATCACGTAATCACATTGTTCTGGGAAACCTACCGGCTTCTGCAGGTTTAGCAGTGGTGCTGCCCCCGCTGCTGCCCTTCCCCCAGCTGCCAAACATGCCTTTACCACCGGGGCCCAGGACCTGATTGTTGAAGTCAAGAACAGGGGTCTGAAAAATAAAAAAGGGGATACAAAGATTAATGGGATTTGAACAGATCTTATAATTATCTCCACATCATGACCATTCCCACAGCACAGTCTTCATTCCGTCAACGAAAACTATGACGAAAGATGAGACGGGACTAAGGTGTTAATGGTGGACTATCGGACATTCAAAATGCAGCATATTTTCCCCCAAGTGTCCGTCTTGTTTGTCAAAATGCATCTTACGTTTCTAACTTGCAATATCATTATTTCCGCTCTCTTCACTCCAGAAGAGCGATCTCCCTGGCCGTTTCTCAATGTCGAGTAAACCTGCTGCAGAGCCACTATTTCAAGTATACTACGTCATCGAGTGGCGCCGAAGGACTGTTTGAATGCATGTTAAATGCCCAGCATTCGGCGTCACTCGATGACATAGTATACTTGAAATAGTGGCTTTGCAGCCGGTAAACTCGACATTGAGAAACGGCCCGTGTCTCTCTGTGTGCGGGGGGCGGGGCCTAACAGACGCTCCAGCGGCAAACAGAGATCTGCCAGGGACGGAGCATTCAGAGACACTCTACAAGGCTCGATGTGGACAAAGCTCGTTTGCATTAGTGTTTTCGCGTAAGCGCGTTGACACGAGCAGTCTGTCCAAACTGCTGGCCAAAAAGGTGTCATATTCAGTCGGAGAAATGCACAATTTTCGATTTCCTTAACTCATAGCTCTGTTGCCCCAATTATGATTAACGTTATCACATCAGGTGCGCAGAGGTGGGAGAAGTACTCCGATATTTTCGTTAAGTAAAAAAGTACCAGGGTGTAGGAATACTATGTTACAGTAAAAGTCCTGCATTCAAAATGTTACTATGGTAAAAGTAGAAAAGTATTCTCATCAAAATATAGTGAAAGTAGCGACAGTAAAAGTAGTCATTGTGCAGATTGGTCCATTTCAGATTTAGAATAATATATATGATATGTTTTATAATGATTGATCATGAAAGTGTTCTCAAAGCTGGTAAAGGTGCAGCTAGTTTGAATGACTTTGTATACTGCAGGGTAGCTGGTGGATTTACTCCAGGTGGAACTAAAGTCTGATTTAACACTTGATTATATTTCACATCATTCATCCACATCTGTAAAGTAACTAAAGGTATTAAATACATGCAGTGGAGTAGAAGTACACCATTTACCTCTGAACTGTAGTGGAGTAGAAGTACACAGTAGCAAAACATTTAAATACTCCAATAAAGTACAAGTACCTCAACATTTTACTCAAGTACAGTACAATATAATAACATAATTATATATATTTGATTTATTTCACATTTAAATAAAGCAATGTTAATTCGGTTAACAATTTGTTTAGTTTTTCCCTTTAAAAAATAACAAAAAGTAAATACAAGAATACCGTTAAAGTACCGGATCGATAAGCAGTATCGATAAGACTAGTAGTACCGTAGAAAACCTTAACGATACCCACCCCTAGATATTACACAAGTAAAGTGTTTAGAGAGTGAAATGTTGCTTTACGAATTTCAACACTTGATGCTGTCACATTGATTCCAATCTCAGAAACCTGTATTTGCCTAACTGAATTAGTTTAAAGAGAGAAAACATTTTGACTAAAAGTTGACTAAAATGTTTTGAGTTTTCGTCGGCTAAAACTAGACTAAAACTATGAAGGATAAAAATGACTAAAACTAATAACCATTTTCGTCTAAAGACTAAATCAAAAATAGCTGCCAAAATGAACACTGCCACAGCATCTTCAACCATGTAATATGAATGTTGATGTAGCTACATACATACTGAGACATTAGTATTAATAATACATTGAATTTTTATAGCGCTTTTCCTAGTGCTCTTGTAAAGACGTAATACCAAGTCAAACTCAGCCTTTCTAAGAAACTGAAACTAAAAACACACTCATGAAACAAACTACAACCTAAATCGTTGACGGTAGAAAGAAATAACAAAAATCGTATTGAAATCTTGCATTCCTATCCAAGTGAAGCGTCCTTTCTCCTACCTTAGTGATCTTGCTAAGCCGAGAGGTGTCAATGGGTCGGTTTTTGGTGGAGATGGGCACTGTGTTCCAGCCTTCGTCCTGGGGAGGTTGCCCTCGGCCCTGGTTTTCACGGCCCTCGCGGCCCCCACGGCCCCCTCGATCGTTCCTTCCTCCGTCGTTCCTTCCTCCGTCGTTTCTGCCTCCGTGGCCTCCTGACGGCTTAGAGATGAAGGCTTGCTGCACCTTCATCTGCTCCCGTTGCTCCTCCAGCTCGGCGTCTTTGTGGATTTGCTCGATCGTCTTCGGGCCCTGTTCGCCTCTCCTGGGGACCCACGAGCTCTGGAGGGGAGGAAGTAGAATATAGAGGTAGTCAGAATCAGAATACCTTAGGAAATCCAGTCCACTCTGAAGGGATCTACTGATAGATTTGATAAGGCCTGGCAGCCATAGATCGCACACGTGCAAGGTGGATTTAACACTTTGAAGATGATTATGTATAGAATTGAGTGTTGCTGAAATCTGGGCTACAACAATTTCTAAGACAATATTGTAGGAGTTGTATATATTTTGTCTGTGTTCTTTTTTGTGTCCATTATGAGAACGTGTACTTATCTCATTATGTTTTAGTTGTTTTCTTTCATGCTGGGGTGGGGGGGTATATTTGATCTGCTTTCTGGCAGTCTGGTTGAAATGTGCACTGTTGCATCTACAGTATGTATTTGACTGCTCAATGACATTCTGTATGATTTTTCTTTATAATGAAAACATTTTTTTTTTTAAAAAGGAATACTTTAATCGTCCCACATAACCGTAAAGAAATATTAAAGATGTCGGGACATTGACGGGATTATTTGGGACATGATTTGCTCCCTCTGTGTGTATTGGATAATTAAATGGCAGTCAAAATGTTTACAAATATCAAAATGTTAATGTGTCCACATCACCGATTCCAACAACATTTTTTCAGAAACATTTTTTTTGCTACTAATATGGGGAAATATTAGGAAAGAAGCAGACACGTTGATGCTGGCTTTAGATCCAATAGCCGCTTTCACACCAAGTACTTTGCCGTACTTAGTGCCCGGTACTTATTGCCCGGTACTTAGTACCCCCATGCTGGGACTCCCAGCAGCTTCTACTGAAGCCTTTCGAGTAAATAGCCAGAACACCAACACCTCCCAGTGTTTCCCCTACCATTGTATTGGAGGTGGGGCTGCGCCCTGCAAACGGAGCTGCGCCCTGCAAACGGAGCCCCCCCTTAAATTAAAGTTGTTTAAAAAAATTAAAAAAAATTATACATATATAGCACCAAATTGCAACTAATCTATATCTACTGTCACTTTTCACATTGAACATGTGCTCTTTTATTAAATTAACTAAACGCTTTCATTTTAAGTTGTGAGTTTAGTGTTTTTGACCCAAAGAAACACTGATGCATTAATCAATAATCCACAGCTCCTCTCTCTGCTCCAGAGGATTTAAAAAAAGATATATCCCGATTTTACTGCACCTAGTTTCCTACATAACTATTGTTTTTGTTTCTCTTTTGGTTAGGTATTGTTCTTTCTATGTGTCTGTAAGCACCACTTATAACAAAGCAAATTCCTCGTAAGTGTAAAACTACTTGATAATAAAACTGATTCAGACAGAGCCCACTCTAAAGCTAAACGGCGCTAGCTTAGCATAGCTAACGGCGGTAGCTTAGCATAGCTAGCATGACACAGCACTATAACCGTTACTCCCCAAACAAACCCTCTGAAAATACCCAATAAACAGACATCACACCAACAGTGAGCTCTTCACAACACCAAAACACAACATCAGTGTGTATTCAACATGTATCAACCATAAAACTCACCTAGTGTGGGGAGATATTAGGAAATAAGCTAATTAGCTCAAATGCCCGGTTGCAGCTAGCTTCAAGTCCAACGTATTAATAAACGGTTGTTAAGCAACAGGCGCCATCTGTTGGACAACCCAGGAACCGTTAGTCTTTGTAACTTGTCATATCCATTACATATGCAACAGGTTCAAAAAACACTCAATACATTAACTCAATTGAACTGAAGTATCTCTAATTTCGACCGATGATTCAATAGGCATTTAGCAGTGTTAATGCTGACAAATTAACACTATTAGGACTAAGGTGTTCATGGGAGTAACTGATGAAAACATCCACATCCTAGTCACTCTTAAAGCTGGCAAAGGCAGTTTTTATTTAGCATTATTGGGCAAAAGCTCCATAATAACCTTCAATAGATAAAAAGCTAAGAGGATACAGAGGGTTGAGGTTAGATTCTTCTCTGTCCTAAGTCAAAGGTTAGTCTACAGGAAAAGAGATGTGCTATAATGACATATTTAGGACAACCCTGACTTTATCATTGCAAAGGCTCTTTCAACGTTTTTCTATTACATTTTTCCATCAGATTTTGGGTTATTGCAGCAAAATGAGCACTTTGGCAAACACATTTATGACAAGTTTTATATTAACCGACAGAAACATGTTCAGAAAACCATTGATTTCTAGACGAGGAAACGGGAAGTGTAGTAATGCCGACTCATTTCTAGGATTATGATTCATTCCTGCAAACACTATGGTGGAATAAAAGCTTTTCCTCCAAGATAATCCTTCGTTGAATCAAGCTTTGACCTAAAAAGGGATGTGCACATTTGTGAAACAGAAAATAAAAACGCCCTCTTTGAAATGACCTGAAAACAGAGCCAGAAGGAGGTGCAGAAGTGTAGTTTTCTTTTAAATTAGAATATACTGAGAGGTTATATTGGAAGTTTTGCTCCAGGAAGGCACAAATAAAACTGCCTTGCACGGCTTAAACTCTTCAATTTAGCCTTTTTCCTAGAAAGGCAAGAACAAAGTGTGTGTGTGTGTGTGTGTGTGTGTGTGTGTGTGTGTGTGTGTGTGTGTGTGTTTTTCAAAGTAAAGTGTGGCCAATGTGCTGACTGTGCAGCTGATGTTAGCTTGTTAAAACACTGAAAGAGGTTTTGTAACACTGTGTGGGCGGTGGGCAGCATTCCTTCAGAGAAATAATCTTAAACTGGACTGGCTTCATTACACATATATATATATATATATATATTCTGGTCATATGCGTTTAACGGTTTGTGTTGTTTGTTAAGTTTTTTGATCATTGTTTTTTTATACTTAATAGGTTTCCTGGCTTGTATCTCCCATACCCAGAACTACTAATAAGAAATTAAATCATCCTTAAATTGACTTAGGAGCTGTCTTTGTTTCTTAGCTTAAACAATACCTGTTAGCCTATAATAAAAACGACTCTTGTTGTGCTAGTGTTTACCCGTCGAAGGTCCAGCACGTCCTGCAGCATGAAGCGGATCCTGGAGCTGGTCTTCTTGTCCTTTATGATTTTCTCCATCTGATTAAAGTACTGGTCCATACGAGGCTAAGGAACAAACACAGCAGTGTGGTGAGTACATCTTCCACAAAACAAATTAAAACATGATCCAACAGCATATACTGTAGGCACGTGGTCTGTAGAGCTGCCTCAAACAAAACGAATTAAAAAAATATCGTTTTCATTGTTCAAAAAATGTTTTACCCAATTGCAATTGTTTGTTTAAACGTTAACTTCTATAGGTTAAAGTGGAATGATAACACTTGACATTTTGATGGTTTACACAGACTTAGGGATCGTTAAAACAATTCTTCGTAAAGGTGGGACATTTGTTTCATCTGGATTCTTGTATACCAGCTGTTTCTAAAACACAAAACGACAGCGCAGAAATGGCTCCTTGAGGAATAGTTTAGTCTAAATGCACTTCGTACCTTGGCCTTCTCGAAGTCGAGGTCCTTTCCGATGGTGGACAGCAGTCTGCAGAGGCACTCCAGAGACTCTTCGTCGTGGTTCTTCAGAAGCTTCACGATGCAGTCGTGCATGATGACCTCTGTGAGCATTTTCAGCTTGAACAGCTCTCCGATGAACTTCATGTTGCCCATCGAGCGCCTGCGGGCGTTGTCTTTCTCACGCTGCAGCTGCTCAGTGAGACGCTGCTTCTCCTCCGGCTGCAGGAGGAACAAAGTCACGGGGAAATGGAAGAGATGTTAGCCGTTTGAATAATCTGAGAATAATATAAATCTGAACATTTCATTTATCCTGGTCAAATGTGGGTTTCCAAACGGATAAATATATATTTTTTAAAAGGTTACTTAAGAATGTGCAATAAAAAGATCAAATACAAAAATAATATTTATTTAAACACAATTAAAAATACGCAATACAAATGTTAAATTATTAAATAAATAAAATGTATTTAAACAAGAAAAATGTGTAATAATCCTAAGTGATATGGGTAAGTAAGATGTCCAATAAAAAGGTAAACATGTGCACAGTGTAATACAATTTACAAAATATGTAGTTTTTATGTGTATCACTAAGATATTTTCCAGAATTACACAGGTTTCAAAGGGTTTAAAAGTGCTAGTCTGTTAACTCATAATGGCTTCCCTCTGATTTATGTTCACCTTCAAATACTCCCCACCACACATACAAAATAAAACACCAAGATCACTTCTTTTGAGCGTAAACAAAGAGCCTAGATTGAGATTGTTTTAGGCAGTACTGTACCACTGTGGCAGCATCCAGCTCTTTCTGCTTCCTCTCGAAGATCTCGTCGTCAACTTGGTCCTTTTCGAACTCCTTCTGGCATCGGTTTAGCAGCAGCTTGCGGAAATTCACAAAGACTCCCGGCTTATCTGTGGTTTCAACTTTAAGCTGGAAAATAGAACAGCAAACGCACACAATTAAATAGAGATGTCCCGATCCGATCACGTGATCGGGGATCGGAGCCGATCACGTGAT